ACGCACTTATCTATTTTTCATAAGGTTATGCTGAAAAAACTGACAAAAGATTTTTTTTTTTATTCCAAAGACAGAAAAAATATCATTACTTTCCTAGTACTATAGCCTCTGTGGCTTTTTACACAGTCATGCTTCAACAAGCCATGAAATTCAGACTATAAACATCCAATAGGGGCAGTAGAAAAAACAATCTCTCACCTTCCTGCCAGAGATCTGTTACAGAAGCCTGGTGCATCCCTGTCTCAGATGTAGCACACTTTATGTAGACAAAGTAACTTCACCAAAATAACTTCATAATCGGGGGGGATTTCAGTGCTTGCAGCACATGCAAATGCTTAATAAAATAAAGTTTTAAAGCAGTCTTCAAATGTGCGTTGCAAATTTAAGTGTTTGAGATAAACTAATGATGGTTTAAACACTTAGCCTGACATACAACAGTTCAAATTCTGGAGGGTGTACAACAACTAGCCAAAATTTACAGAACTTCAGTCCTGAAAGTTCACATTTAGGCATCTAAAGTTCAGCACACATAGAGGTAAAGTGTGGTCAGTGACCATCACCACCTTTTTGTCCTGACATGTACAGCAGGGTGCCCTTGTTGCCAAGAAGGCCAATGGCATCCTGGGGTGCATTAAGGGGAGCGTGGCCAGCAGGGCGAGGGAGGTTCTCCTCCCCCTCTACTCTGCCCTGCTGAGACCCCACCTGGAGCACTGGGTCCGGTTCTGGGCTCCCCAGTTCAAGAAAGATGAGGAACTCCTAGAGAGAGTCCAGAGGAGAGCAACAAGGATGATAAAGGGACTGGAGCATCTCCCCTGTGAGGAAAGGCTGAGAGAGTTGGGCTTGTTCAGCCTGAAAAAGAGAAGGCTGAGAGGGGACCTCATCAACACCTACAAATATCTCAAGGGTGGGGGTCACGAGGACGGAGCCAGACTCTTCTCAGTGGTGCCCAGCGACAGGGCAAGGGGCAATGGGCACAAACTGAAACAGAAGAGGTTTCAGTTGAATATGAGGAAGAACTTCTTGACTTGGAGGGTGATGGAGCCCTGGCCCAGGCTGCCCAGGGGGGCTGTGGAGTCTCCTTCTCTGGAGATATTCAAAGCCCGCCTGGACGATGTCCTGTGCCCCCTGCTCTGGGTGAGCCTGCTTGAGCAGGGGGGTTGGACTGGGTGATCTCCCGAGGTCCCTTCCAACCCTTGCCATTCTGGGATTCTGTGTGTATTTTTTAACATTTACAGCAATATCTCAGATCTTTGTGTATCTTCTTACAAAGATAGAAACATTACATATTCCTTTTGTCCTTTTTCAGTTGTGGTTCCTGCTAATTCAAGGAGGCCAGGAAGAGTTAAGCACATAATTAAAATAAAATCATGCCAACCAAAGCTAAGAACTACTGAAATATCCAATCTGATCCAGCTGCCAGAGTCGAAGTTGTGCACGTTGACATTCCTCCTGTCACATAACCACAGTTAGTTTTAAACCTGCTCAGTGTCAGCTTTAGATCTGCTCATATAGTGACAGAAAAATAATGTGACAGCACCGAAGGAAGCAATGAAGGCCTGAAACTAAGCAAAATTATTTCATGTGCAGCATGACCTTTTCTTTACCAAAATACATAGAACCTTCCTTAATAAGCTAAATTTTTAAAGAGTGCTGGTGGCTGCAGGTAGGGAGAGAGAAGCGAGGGCCGATGTCAAATCCCTGTTCTCCTGTCTGTTAAAAATAAACAAAAATGCTGCGCACCCAGTAAGAAAAGGAAATCTTTGACAGAGCAACGGGCTCGTATGGTGACTGACACCGAAATAACTAGCGTTAGGGCTTCCTAAATGAAGGGAGGAGATGGAAGGGAAAAATGGAAATAGATGAAAACTATACAAGAACTTGAACAGAGAAACAGATCTGCACATAAAGCAGCAGAACAACAGAAGTTAGACTTATTTAACCATAAAAAACATTGGGATCATTAAAATCCACACAAATGTAGACTTAGTAAAGCTACACCGGTATCAATATGCTCCTTGTCTGCAAAAGTTTATTTAAGAAAACTTACTGCAACAATGAGACCTGAAGGTTCTAGACAGAAAAAGGCAACTCAAGAAGGAGAGGGGGAATAAAAAAATTCTTAAAATACTTCCTCCACCCCACCCCCCCCGATTGCAACAGCATTTTTTTTAAATCGGTGATAAGTAATACTTCATAAAAACAAAACACACATGGAGGAGGAAAAAAAAAAGTCCTGAAGCTTGCATCACTGTCTCCGGGCATAAATTTTTAACACATTTTTGTTGACTGCAACTGCAAGACTGAGAACTACCTTTAATCTACACGGGGGAGAGAGATTAATCAGCAAAGCAGCCGCTGGGGTAGGTGACTGTTCAGAACTGAGGGTGGCAGGAGATGGAAAGTATCTCTGTAACCTGGCTGTGTATATAAAACACTCAGAAATGCAAATGTAACTCTCACACCAAATCAAAACAGTAAAAAATGAAAAAGGCAGAAATACTCGCAAATTGACAAACTGAATTCCTGCAAAATCCAGCCCAAGTAACTTTTCTCCTGTATCATTCTGTGTTAAAAAAGGAAATGGCTACTTAAAAACAAGTACAAAAAACTTTCTCTGAATCTGAATCTTATCACATGAGCTTTCTATGGTTCTCTTCAGTTGTCGTAACATGAATGGAATTTATTAATTGCCTAAAGGATTCGCTGCCATTCTGTCCAATCCACCCTACGGACTCAAGTACTGTGGCAAACGCCTTAATGTGAGACTCTTCTCAAAAGCTTGAAAGGGAAGAGAGGGGGGTGGAATGCACCATGAGAATCCTTCCTGAGTACTCCAATCTTTCCACACTTTGGTAGGGATTACCATAATGATCCCATACACTGATTTCTGGTGAGTTACCACAGTTCTATTCAGAACAGCACCTAGATGTACCTCATCACACGGCACTTCAAAATATCAGTCTTGGAAGAACACAGCTGTAATGAGAGCTGTGCATGCTTTATAGAACTTGCTGCAAAATAAATAAATATTACACAGAAAAAAAGACACCCTCAAGTTAAAATCAAAGAGATATTTAAAGTTTGGGCATTCTTCATTACGGGAAAGAATCTTCCACGCTGAGGCCATTATCCATCAGAAAAGCTCCATCCGTGTATAATTATTTCTGATAAACGATATTAAGCTTCATTAAAGAGATAGTGAGGATGTGAGAGAAGACAGAGGGAGCTCAAGCTGTAAATAAATCTCTGCACTGTATTTCACTTAGAATCACCCCAGCAGGAAGTCATAAAGAATTTTTTTTACAGGCAATATTTCCAAATGCTCTGCAGGCTGTGCTGCCTAATATCCATCACCTTCAGTGTATGTTCACAAGCTTATAGCAATTCAGGATGAAGGACACTATTTAATTTCCTTCCCTCCTTCCCATCCCTGTAATCACCTTCCCACTTACCCCCAAGTCCTTGTCAGCCACAACAGAAACACTTTGCTGTCACACAGCTCGATACCTAACTGAACAAATTTTCAGAAATCCTGACCCAGTAAGTGCTGGAGAAGCACCCTGAAACACCAAATAGTAGATCCCCTGGCTAATAAGCCAGAGGTGCTGAAGCCCCATGCCCTGTGAAGGCCCAAATGTGTTGCTGAAGCATAATGTTTTGCTGAATTCTCTAGGGAGCTTGTTTTAAGGCCTTGTTTTTAACAGCAGACTACAGGTTTCCCCTGAAGAAACGCTGGACAGAAGGAAGAGATGATGGGTGGTCAGCAGCAACTGCGTATGCGAAGGAGAGACAAGAGTTACACGGCAAGTTTACTCTTATTAAAAGAACTGGTATCAGAACATTAACATTTGAACCCTGCTGTATTTCTGACAGTATTCTCACATACAGATAGAAAACAATAATTCAATTTAAAAATTTTATTTTAGTCTAATAAACTACCACAATCCCAAAATGACACTTGGTGCTTTGTCTACAGCCAATCTGCAAAAGTAACAGGAATATATATGCAACATCTACATACCTGTAAACAGAACAAATATGTTGGCAACTCAGCAAAACCATCCTATGCAAATAGTTAACACAACTGCAAACAAGTGTAGCATATCAAAGATTTTTTAGCCCTAGTGCTTTATCAGCATTGTTATTTCCAGCAGTTGCCCCAACGTTCAGGATCCAGAGCAGCTCTAGCAGATTCCCTGCTGAAAATGAGCACGTTTTTCTTGCAGTGCATACATCTATTTACCAGCCAAGAGGCACAAGCAAACACAGCTCAAGAAGGATCTCTCCATAAAGCGTCTTCCAAAATAAAGCTACAGTTGGAGGAAAATGAAGCTACAAATTGCACAATTGAGCTTAAGTTGTAGAATGCAGGTATTAAAACTCCATGTATTAGACACAGAATATATAGAGAGGTTTAGAATAACTTAAAAGACGACTTTGTCTCACTGTGTTTGCTAATCTTTAACATCTTAGCTTACCTTCAGGGAGAATTTTTGCCTTATCAAGTTCAATAAAGAAGAAAGATGGGTCATGAAAGAAGAGATGGATTACCACATGAAACTTAAATTTTATGCAAGTAACCTAGCAGCAGTCTAGACAAACATGCATTACAGGCAGTGCTACGTGCAATTGCAGTTATTAAAAACCTAAAGGTTTTAAAGGAAAGATTCACAAGACATTGGTGTTTATCTTAGAAAATATATATATATATATATATAAAAATTTACCAGCAATGCAAGAAACGAGTGCCTCAAAATTGTAATTAAATTGCATACTGCAGTTCAACCAGCTGTAAAGTTAGCTAGGAACTCCTGCAACCCCTTTTAACTTGTTCTTCGGTTAAAGCCATCGATGTCTATTTTGTGAGTAACTTCTAACCCTTCCCTTTGCCCCAAAAGACAGCCCATTTACTTCCAAAGGGAGTCAGTAAAACATAAGCCTGAGAACAAAACCAAAATGTTTATGCCCCCTTGGCTGTCGCTTAGGACTTGTGCACTTACATTCCTCTTTGCTCGGTGAAGTTACATTCAGTTCTGTCAAAAGTTGCTGGTTGGAGTTAGCGGCCTGCGTGGTTAGAGAGGTATTGCTGTTGTCACTGTTCGTTTCTCCAGGGAACAAATCTGACTGGCTGTTGCTTGTGCTGGGAGTAGAGTCATCGTCTGGCTGCTTCTTCGGGAAATCTATCAAAACCAAGATGCCATACGTCATCCCACGTGCTCAATCTCATTGGCTGATGTTATACAAAAAAACCTGACCCCAAACCACTGCCAGAGGTATCATCGTTCTGATCATTTGCGTATCTCATGCAACGTAAACTTAAGAGTAGCCTTCAAGTTTTTATTTCAGATCTAAAGTATCTCAAAAGTTATTTGTTGTTGTAAGAACAACAAAGAATTTCAGGATTACACAAAGTGCTTGTTTCCACAGCCTTTCAAGAGCACCCAAAGCTCGCCACGATCTATATCGGTATACAGCACATAGCATCATTTTAAAAATAGTTCACCCAAAGCACGTACAAAAGCATAAAGGAGCAAACATATGATGAGGGAAGAACTAAGGCATGTAACACAAGTATAAGGAAATGTTCCACCTCTCCCAAAGCAATACTTCTCGCTGCTGTTTTATAAAATCTCACCAGTAACAGTTTTGGTGAAGCTAGGGTAGACAGCTGTGGTTCCAAGTTAGCACAGAGGAGCTGGTAAGGGATTTGCATCACTTGTTTGATGGGGATTTGGGGTGCATTTGGGGTGGTATACGTGTGGGGGGTATTTTTCTCTCCTTCCTCTTTCCTTTGCTTACCCCAACGTTGGTATTAAAAGTTGCTCATTGATCTATGACCATAGAGTTAGATATGGGAAGTAAATCACTACAATACATGGAAGTCAAATAATGTGTCCATATTTTTCAAGTTTGCCTTTTGTTTTCTTTTTGGTCAGCAAGCACCAAGTCACACTAAGTCTCCAAACTGCCCCCATAGTCCAAATTCTACATCTTTGCTCTCCAAACCAGATTCAGCTTTGAGGGGAAATACTCTCTTCCTTTCTGAGTGCAAATCCTCCCTCAACGGCTTTCCCAAACCCACTACAGCATTAGTCTGCGTTCCTACCAGCTATGCTACTGGATTTCAGTCCGGCACAGCTCTGCCACTGGATGTCCCCGGGGAATACCCCTCCCAGCCAAGGGATTCTGGTTTGCTTAACTCTCACAATGCAAAGGCACCACCTCTCGGTGTTCCTAAACATATCTTTAAAAAAAAAAATTACATACAAAGGCAGAATTTGTTCATTACGCAAATGCATACTTAGATCAATAATGGTTGCTCATTATTATGTCATGACAGGAGAAAACAGAGCAGTCCATAAATATTGGCGGATGATGGCATGTTAGAAACTCAGGTCGCCAACATGACTCACTGGGACTGGGAAGCACTACAGTCAAAAAGTCCTTAAATGCTAATTTAGGATTTAAGTGACTTGCCAGAGAAACTAAGCTGTAACTTCTGCTGCTGAAGAGTCAGCCAGAAGTCCGGCTTAGAGAAGAACAAGCTCAAAGCCAGGGAGGAGGAGGAGGGAGGTGGCAGACTGGAAACCATCCACCTCCACAACGCAGCTCTGAAAAACCAGTGGGATGCTCTTTGTTGACGATGAGTTACTGGACCCAGCAAGTTGTCCTACTCAGGCCTGACTAGTTATCCACAGAGTTCCACCCAAGTTGGGCTCCTGGATTTCATTAGTGCGCTTGTGCAATCAAGAAAGCTTCAAGCACTTGGGATTCTGCACCAGCCACAGAGAGCTGCAGCAATTATAACTGGAGCCACCGCCCCAGAAGACACCCAACTGTTGACGCCTCTACCGAATCCACAGTCCTGTCAGAAGGGGAGTTCACAGCTGGGGACATTTTGGGAACCACCAGTCTATAAATAACCAGTACATAAAATAAATTAAAATCTCCCATGTTGCCTGCAAATACAAGGCGACTACAAAGACCCGAAGTGTTTTACGTGAGATTGCCTCCAAGGCAGCGCACAGAGGTAAAGCTGGGTTGTGTGCACGTATCGGAAGTGAGAGCAACTCCATCCCATCTTCAAGGAGCAGAGTAAAAATCAAGAGTTATGCTCAACATTATACACTGTAGGCAATCTATAAAATGCATTTAAAAAGAAAGTGTAGAGTTAGAGAACAGCAACAGATACTATGAAATATATTAAAATTTGGCACGTTAAAAACTCTCAGCCAGTGGTGGGTTTGGGTTTTGGTTTTTTGGTTTTTTTTTTTGCTAGATAGCTGCAAATACTTTACTTGGGCTGCACTAACTCAGTATCATGCACAAAAGGCATTTCTAGAGAAATGTAAAACATTTTTACAAAATGGTCTGTATAACAGAAATCCTGAGAGTCCTTTAACGATAGCACGGTAAGTACTAGTGCGACACTGCGTCTCCCAAAGCTGCAGGTTTAAGAGTGCATTGATCAAGGTGGGGTTTCCCCCTCCCCGAAAAACCATTCACTTTTGCAACCTATGGATAAACTCTCCAACTTCAAAGAGAACACAAAAGGCTGTCAGAAACGGTCATTCAGTGACAGCACTGCCCAACAAGCTCACGACTGGAACAGTTGAGAGCTGTCACACAGCAGCAAAATCCACCAGGGCCGTTAAACGCTCTTTGCCTTCATGAATCCAGGACCGGGTGTTCAGAGCTAACTTTTACTCAGACTGCAAATCAATTAACTTTCAAAAAAAGTCTTGGCCTGTTCAGTTGTGCGGAACCTGAGAACACCTCCCGTCCCCCCTCTTTTTAACCACTTTTCCATTGCAGACAAGAGTACTTGAGGAAAGCGTTGAGGTTGCCGATCTCAGGTGCCCGAGGCATACTGACTGTAATTGAAGTTGTACTACTTACTTATGCTACAGCAAATTATTCACAATTGCCTTCCTAATGCGGCGTCAACAGCAAAACAGGCCCTATTCAGTGGCATAGTTTAGATAATAAATTTGACCTAAATTATCAACAGATTTCTGAAATATTGCTTTATGATTTGTGGTCCAACATCTACCTGGTACAGATACACACCTAATGACGTACCGCATGAGCTGTATTATATTTCTGTGAATCGCTGGGTAGCACTTGGCTTCTGTTAACCAGGACTCTCGTTAACACAAATAACTTGCAGATCACCTTGACCGCCCCCCTAGCACAATAAAAGCTGGCAACAGTCACAGGAGAGCTGTGGCTGAATAAATCCAGGCAACAAATAAACAAATTTGCTTAACAAACAAAACAAAAATACACACACACACACAATACAGGCAACACCCTGGCGAGTTCTGAAGAGGAGGCTTTATTCTGATTAAAATCAGGATGTAATTCTGTTGACAGAACAACGACCTCTCCTAACAGTCTCAACAAGGAAAAAGCAGAACAAGAGTTGGCAAGACATTAATCATAATTTCCAGAAGTTTCTGTACAGCTAGAGATGCATGCAGAACACTTTGATTTAAATTAATTTTTTCCTTCATTTTTTACTGAGCCTTTCACTATGCTGGCAAAATCCATGCCAAAAAGCACAAGGACTGACCAAAAACTCCATCAAATCCACATCCGCCTCTCTTAGCTAATGAAATGCAACTCTATAACTTTTTACAGACACTTTAACTGGTACACAGGCTTAGTGGAAACAAACTTTCTCCATTTGCCAGAAAATATGTTTTCTTTTTCTTTTCAACATTGTCTCCTTTTCTCCACTGCCTTCAGGTTTGGAGGTTTTTTGGTGTTTTGTTTGGGTTTGGGGTTTTTTTTGATTTTTTTTTTTTTTTTTTTTTTTGAAGTAGAAGATACCCTGGTGTTAGTTACAAGGTGGAGCCAGCATGAAAATAAGATGTGAAAATTAGCCTTTTCCTGCATGAAGGAATAACAGAAGGAAAGATCTATCGGTAAAATGCAGGAAATACATCCAACAAACTATTGCTGCGTGGTAGAGAAGCTGCCAGCAGTAAGCGGCAAGACTGCCAGTCTCCTAGCTCCAAAATCCTTTTGCTTCGTTGAGCTTAAGGGTTGCACCCAGCACCTCTCAGCAGGCTGAGCAGGAGCAGAAAATCTCAGGCAGGGCTCCCATGCACTGGAGGCTCATAGTAAGTGTTATTTTTGTTACTTAGGATTTCTTTGTAAACAAAACAATGACTGTGTGCATCTATACGCGATACAGACATTTCATATTCTATATATACAATGAATTCAAATAGTTTAGTCTAAAAGAAAGGCAAGAAGCCAGATCTGTTTCCAGACTTCAGAAGACAAGTTATTTTACAAGCCAATCTTTTGTTCATTTGTATTCATAAAATAACGTTGATAAGGAAACTCATTACCTTTACAGCTTCAGATTCTAACTCATAAACCCAGAGGTGTCACACGAAATCAGGTCTTCGGTACAGGACAAACTCCCTCGTACATTTGTCCAGTTACTGTTACCAGTTTGGGGTAAACACCCAGAAAGAGCCCATCTTCCAAATATATTCATTTCACCCATTACCTCAAGGTCAAACTAACAAACGTTTAGAACATCCAACCTCTTCCACCAGCTATAATACTCCCACTTCTGTTGACACAAAAAAAATCAGGTGGTCCCAAATTCAGTATTTAGTTTACTTCAGCCATCAATATCTAACAAAATACCTAAGGAAATATTGAGTCCTCAACTTGTGCTTAACTGTAAGGGGTCTGTAACTACGCAGGGAGCAACCCTTCAGCTTCTGGTCAGTAACTTCTGTGATTGCAATCAGCTGAAACTTGAGGTGAAGGTGAATGCCAGCCGTATCAGTGCCTTATAAAGCATTTTATTCTGAAAAAGACAGGCATGTCAAAATAGTACATGAAATGATTTAATACTAAGCCAGAGTTTTTTCTCCTTTGCACTCTTGCTATGGTATAAGAAATCATAAAATTTATGAAACTCCCAAAGGGTCTTAAACCTTTTGTCTTCTTTTAAGGGTCAAGGTTACTGACACTTCCTATTCTCTGGCCTGTAACAGATGTTTTCATTAATAAGAAATGGGTTCATTCAAATAAATTATGGATGTTGCAAGAAGCATCAAGAGTAAACCCCATGTTAAGAGCAGAATTTAAAGTAACTCTTTTGGTTGGTAGGCAATATTACGCTACTTTGTTCTTCAGTCCTACAGCTGCC